AGATCTCAAGGCGAATAGCGTAGATCCTCGATAGGTGGACAACACGACGGTATCTTTATAGAAATATTTATCTCTTTCTCTCTCGGGGCTTTATGAGTTCTGGACGTTTAGTGCCTTCGTAAGAGGACTCGAAGTGCCTCGGATGCTGCAAAGGATTCAAAGGGAATAGAAGGCAAAGAGATCGGGTTGGCTTTAGTAAATACGGAAGAGATCTTTATGCATGCAAGGAGCCACGTTCTCTCGCAAGATTGTTCCGTAGACACGTGCTGGACCAGGCGCCCCGTACCATAACAGCATCTTCGGACGGAGGCTGCGCCTTGCGTATCCTGGTGGTTAAATTCCTCGGGAGGAGGTAATGGGACTCAACGTAGGCAGCCTCCCAGGCAGCGCCGGCCAAAAATCCGCGGAGTTTATGGAGAGAGAAAACAGAGAGAGAGAGAGAGAGAGAGAGAGAGAGAGAGAGAGGAGAGCAAAGAGAGTACACCGAAGAGAGTCCCGATACACTCGGCGGGCCTACGATTTTAATTAACCCGGCTACCCGAGCGGCCGATCGCGATCGAATCGGGTGCACGATCTACAAGGAATCTACATAAGATCCTCCACTCGCGGCTACAACTCAATCCCCTCTTGTTCCTTGGTTGGCTCCTAACCGGGCCTTACGCTACCCGAGCGTGCCCCACTGCACAATCCGCGTCGCGGGGCCCTATTATCTCAAGTTCGATCTTACAGATAGCGTCCCTCCCCCCTCCGCCCCTTTCCTCGGCCAGTACCCACTACCCACTACCCGCTCTACCGCTTCCAGTGAACTCATATTGTCCTCTCAAGCCGTTAACGTAACTTACTCGCTGGACCCACGTGAGGCCCCCCCGAGTATAAAGTACAAAAGGAGCTACAAAAGAGACCAAGAAACCAACTAAAGGCTAAACAAGAGTATCAGCCATAAAGGCGGCCATAGGTCGCCATTGCTTCTCCCAGTTTTCTCTTGTATCCTTTTTCTTTCTTTTTTTTTTTTCCTTCGCTCAACCAGCTACGTTCGCGTCCAAGGGTGGACGCGGTACGCGGACGTCGATACGATTACGATTAATTAATCGGGCTTCATTACTCGAGCCAGGAGGGGTTGGGCGATCCACGGCTGGACCAGGGAACCTGTCCAGAGGATTTTCACTCCGCACAACGGAGACGTCTTCTGGAATATTATCGTATTTATGAAACTCGAGACGGCACGGGGATAAATAAAGGTCCAATCCCTCCGCGTGAGGATTTCGTCCGTCCCGGAGCCCTTTTCATCCTTTTGCCTTTTATTTTTACATTTATTCCGTACTTATATTCCTAGCTATCTCTTTGCTCGGTTTGCCACGGGGGAGACGCTCGTGCGCAGAATCCGCACGACGTCGCCAGGGATAACGCCAGGAGGAATAGGTGGGGCCCTCGACGTCAGTCGGTCCCTTACCTCGACAAAAGACTCGGGGCGAATATATCGATGCTAATATTCGCATTGAAGGCATCTCTCTCGCGTGGATTGGCTCGGAGTCTGGGGAGGCTGCGGAGGACCAGGTAACACGATAGCGTCCCTATGTTAAAGCATCTGGTGTAAAACGAGCTGCTGGTTCGTTCGAGTATTAAATCGGTACCCAACCAACCCAGACGCAGCTTCTCCATCGGCATCTCCACGCGGCCTACTTTTCCATATACCTATATATATATATATATATATATATATATCCAGTGGGTAGATAGACTCACCCACACATCCCTACGAGTTATCTAAAATTAGTGAAAAAAAAAAAAAATGTCAATTATCCTACACTTAATTCAGGTAGAAACTGACGACTGTGATATCACAGCAAAGGGAAATTTCCCTACAAGGATCCGAGTCCTCCTATCCCACGGGAATCTCCTGAATGTCGGGATCCCTGGGATTCCTATAGGAGCGGTCCTGGTAAACGCATTAGTTAACGGCCCTGAAAATGACACTTTGTATCGGCCAATGGGTAATTAAAGTCCCGAGTGTTACGTTTCGAGGGAATTTATTAAACGGACGTGCGTGAACGCCGCCAACTTGACTCACGTTGCTACGAGCCACGAGGTATCTACATATGTGTCGTATCTATAGGTATACCTGGCAATGCCCACTCGGGCTTCTGGCTATCTGCTACCCAGGAGTTTACGGCCTCTGACCGAGGCGGCTACCACTTTAATACTTTTTACCTTCTGCGAGCCGAAACGATTCGCCATATCGTACTCGCTGGCCGGTGCACATAGGTGTCCGTATGCATATGGGGACTCTTAAGAGAACATGCGATCTTAGATCACTGGGATGAAAGTTTCATGCACGTACTATTCACAGATGGCGAGTACGGTGCGTGAGTGGCGCCGTTGGATTCATTACGTGATTGATGATTCGTGAATCAGAAGCAGTTATAGTCGAGCAACGGCAAATTGACGCAATGTATTTTTATTGTCTTTTCTTCTTTCATTTCTGGCAACATGTTACGGACACTCGCCAGATGTGCCGTTGCTCGAGTATCAAACCCGTTCGTCGGTGTGTGCTGTTTACAATTCATTTTTATTTGCAACTCATTTTTTTTTTCTTTTCTTTTTCTTCATCGACATCGATCATGTATACTTGGTTCGATTCAACGCTTACAGTAACACGTTTAGCTTCTATTACAATAGTAAAATCGTTAATAAAAAAAAATCTTGATAATGCGTTACGCGAAATTTATCTTATTCATGATCGTATATATATTCGCAATATGTATATATGTATATAATGACTAAAATGGCAACATTCATGCGTTACCGTATTTGCCCTACCGATCGGAACGACCTGCTCCCTCGACTGCCGGTTCCAAGCAGACATTTTCTCATATCAGAAAAAAAGAATAATAAACGGTAAAAAGAGAGAAGAGGATCACACTCGTTAACAATTTTTTTTATAAATGTCTGCCAAGAAACGGTTGGCCGATTGCGTGCATCAGGTCTCCACGTGGGAGAATGATTATTCTTTAAATATCGTCAAGTTACAGTTCGAGACTTAAGCACTAAAAAATATGTATATTTTTCTACACATGTATATATATATTTATTTATTTATGAAAAATTCATTTATCATCGACGAGATCGGCGCGTTCTGAACGCTGCGTTCGGTAACGACACGACGGCGCGACGGGTTTTACATCGAGATTGAAGACTTATCGTAATCATAAACTTAATTCTAAATTCTCTCTAAGTCCATTTTAATTCCGTGATATGAACCGACTTCATTTAGCATCGGCCGTAACGTTCCTCGATACGGAGATTCCCGTGGCTGATTATACTTTCCTCCCTTTCTTCCCACTTTCTTTTACCTCGGCCACTGGGCATATTATCAACCCTTTACCCTTTACCCTCGGCTTCGTCCGAACCCTTCTGGGCTACCCTTTGACCCCTGCTAAACCCTTTCGTAACCGAACCACGCGCTGCCACATTGACGCAGCTGAGAATCGAAGCAATTCAAATCTTCGAATGATAATAAAAAAAAAAGACGATCCTCCGTCACTCGATTACGCTTGATCGATTCAATCCGAATCTAATCATCCTCTCGACCAATCGCGTCGCTTCGTTATCTATTTCGTAAAAACTATTTAATAACTAGAATAACAATGTTTATAGTGCGCCTTCGCCTTGGACCTTCGCCTTTGGGCCCGTTAATTCCTCAGAGGCCCCATTAGCTTTTGTGTATTAACGCAGGCCCAACTGTTTCCAACGAAGAAACCAGTCGAAGCTTCGCTCTTGGATGATACAATAATAAAAGCGTAAATTCCATCCTCGTATCGAGCTCCGAAACGTAACGATCGAAGCCCACGAAGAGCATCGGAGAGTCACGATTAGCCCAGGTTATCCGAGCAGGGGCCAGCCGTTAGGTTAGCCGTTCACCCTGGGCCTTTCGAAGGATCTGAACGTCTGAGCCGCTACCAATAGGAACACGAGGCGGAGTGGTTAATACACAAAAGCCAAAGGGATTCAATTCGGCCGTTTAAATACACTAAAATCCTATCGCACGTAATCTCCTCTCTGTGTATCGGGAAACTAGAAAAAAAGACTGTATAAATAAAGAGTCCTGGTAAACGATTGGCTGGGATCCCCGGGTGCTCGGAGTGTCGCGCGTTCGTGTTTCTCTCGATGTCGACGGGTGCTTCTATATATTACACGCGTACGTCGATACTAGTCGACAGATCGATATAGACGTAGATGGGCGCGCGTGCATTGGCTGCATTGTGCATCGGGATGCATCTTCGGGATGCATCTCGCGCGTTGTCACAACAAGTCGGAAGAGGAAGGCGAGCGCGAGAGGCGACGGAGCGAAGGGAACGATTCGCTCTCTTTCGTTACTTAACTTTATTCTATTCTATTATTCCCTTTCCTTTCGTCGGCTTTACGTCTTGTCTCTATATACTTCTCCCTTTGACCCTCGTCCATGCGTGAACTTTGTGGCAACCCTTCACCCCGCGACTACGGTGCACACCGACGGGTCCACCGTATTTCTGGTCGTTCATCATTTAACAAAAACTAGTCGCCCAGTCTTCCTTCTTGGTAAAAGATAAAAGCTCACGAGGGCCCGGGGCTCCTCACGCACCGTACGCAAAGTCCTTTAATTCTTTATCTCGCGAAATTACCTAGACACCTATTACATTCTACGTACGTATTCGTATGGTACAGCCGAGCGACACTTCGTTCGGGACTTCGTTTGGATGCGTTTTTCCAATTGTCCTTGCGCCTACGTCACGGAACGAAGAGTCGTCGAGATCTCGAGCATCTTGATTGGCTCGTCGGCTGACGCGGGCGTCAGTGAATAGAAATGAAGGATGCTGGATTCGAGGGGGACCGGAGGATTCGAAGGAAGGATTCGCCGAGGAGCCAAGGGCACTAATGCCTCTTAATGTGATTCTGGGAGAGTTGGAAGATAATGAAATTGTGGAGAGCGCCCTCAAGTGTCTTAAGAAAGCCCTGCCACTGACCTTTCTCGTAGTTGATTTGCCGCTCCTGCTGCCGCGCGTTGTCGGCCGCCACCTTGAGGAGACCCTGGATGTTCCTCAGGAGGGTCTCCGTGCTGGAGACCGAGGGGTCCTGTGCGCCCTGCGAAACGGCCACGGCCGCGGAGGCGATTTGCGAGTAGTTCAGCGCCTGAGGACTTTCCGAGCCTGGCGCTGGCAGCGGCAGATTCTCCGGGACGTCGGACATGTCTGGAAGAAAGATGAAAAGATGCGTGCCATTCAGGAGCAATAGATTTCAAGGGCGGCAATCGTTAATATAGTGCCGCCTGGTTAGCTGGAACGGAAGACTTTTCGCTTTTGGCGAACATCCCTATCTGGCCCAGAGGGGCAGGGAGAAGACACGGGCTGAACGAGAGTCGGCCGATCGCGGCACTTAAGATTCGAGTCGTAAAATGGTAATAATAAATTAAAAGAGCGACCGGGGTTGGTTCGATGCCGTCCTCGTCGTCGACTTATGCCGCGTGCGTGTCTCAGGGCCGTAACCCTGCGACGCCTACTTGTTGCCTTTCGCCAGTCTCTGATTTAACGTCAGTTCAATTGAATTAATCCGTGGAGTCGCGAGGCTTCTCGTACTCGTCGACGAGCTTCGCGAGTAGGCAGAAGAGAAGGAAAGAGAAGCGGGGAGGGAAATAAAGATCGGCCGACTACGCGCGTCCAAGAGATAGTCCCGCCGCCGCCAACTAGCGAAGCATAAAGAGGAGTATAGCGCGGCGCACTCAATGTCTGCTGTATAAGCGAGGCTCGAGGTATAAAGAGTATAAAGAGGGGCCTTATGGTTATTGTATTTATGTCCGCGTGGGTTCGCCCTTAAGTGACCGTCCGAAGGCCCCGATCGAAGACTCGCCTCGCGGCCGGCCCACAGCCTCTGGGCCCCAGCCCATCTCCCGAGTCTCCTGCTTTATGGCCAATGATACGTGCTTTATTGTATCGTCTTTTAATTATCAGCACACCTACAAGCGGGACGTGTGCGTTACTTATTGCAAGGGTGGCCCGATTCGGTAATGCTTTCCCGCGATTCCGTCTTCCCCCCTTTCTCCCTTTCTCCCTTTCTCCCTTTCCCAATATGACCTTAGCGAGCTTGGCCCTCCATCGGGGCCTCACTTCGATAACACAGCCATTACAGTGGTTCCGTGGGCAGAGCACGTGTCTCCGACCATACCAATGACCAGGTGAATCCTCTTGCGTCTCTTTCGGTCTCCGAGAGACGAAAAGCGAACGCGTTGCCAGTGGCAAAGAAATACGCAGAAACGAGGGAGAGAATCGTCATCCGATTCCGAGAAATAAGAGTGCGTCTCATTAAATCAGAACTGCATTCCGCGCTCGTGTACACTCCCACGGGCGTTCGATGGGGTTCTACTTCGATCAGGATAGGTTAGGTAGGATGTTGCTGTGCAAGCGGCACGCTGCGAGACACGGGCCCCTTTCGTAAACACGCCAGATTTATACGTCTAACTCGTGTCGCTCGCGATATTTAGTGGATGCTGCGCTGGTCAGGGAGCAGGACCCTTCGATTGGGCTAATTTCTGATCAGCACCTCCCACCACCACCTCCTTTTCCTCCTACCCCCTCCGCCCCTCAGCCTCACTGCGTAGCCGACATACCGACGGTTCTTCTTTCTCATTTACATTATCTGCCCTCTATCTTCGGCCACATTCGCATTTCCTCTCTTCGTAATAATTTCATCTCTTTTTCTCCTTTTATCTTTTGATTCTCTTCAGTCCCGCTACGAGATCCAAACAAGATCCAACCTCCCGCAACCTCCACGTTATTTGTCTCTCTCGATTCCCCTTCTTCTCCCTGCTGCTCCCCTCGAAAAGGGGATCGAACGTGCGGATATTTTATAAAGCTCATTAAAAGAGTATATGCCCAATAGACTCTTTTATTTGCCCCGTTATTACTGGCCGCTGCCAATGTTCTTTATACTGACTGCCCGTGGCCTGGGAAACCGTGGAACCCGGCGACGACTCGCGTCCGGCTGAGCTCCTCAAAATCCTCGGATCCTCGTGTATTACGTGAAGAAGATGGCGGCTGAGGATCACCACGGAAACACGGATCCTTGCGTCCCGTCTCGTGGTTACACAGTTTAATTGGACGGTGGGGCCAATTAACGTGCCGGAGCGACAATGAACGAATCGATTAGAAATCAATGCGATTATGTCGCTCGGATGGATCGAAGTGTGAGGCCAGGGCGCGAGATAGCGGCCCGAAGCAGGACCGAGATCCTATCTCGGGCCATCTTTCATTATTAAAATGAAACTAAATACCGAAGATGTGCTTCTAATGATCGCTGTGGGCCTCGCAGTGGCGCTCTCTTGGGCTAAGCATCGGAGCATGAGTCCCATTCGGCGCAGGGGAGATCCTGGCCTCGAGATGGGCGAGATGGGCGAGATGGGTGAGATGCGCCTGCCGAGGGTCATTGAGAATCTCTGAATCGGACGTGAGACCGTGTTTCTCAGAGGGAAGATCAATCCCAGAACGTCTCTCCTCGCGCGCCGGAGATGATCGATGAGAGGGTCTGACCTACGAGGAGCTGTCTCGGAGAACTCATCTTCAACCGCGTGGCGTGTCCAGCCAAACCGATATAATTATTTAACATTTGCATACGAAGCAGGGCTGTGGGTACTGCGCTTATCGCGACCTTTCCGATTCGTCATTAATTCAAAGCAAATCAAGAAAGAAGACGCGACCGAAAGAAAGGAAAGGAAAAAGAAAAAGAAAAAGGAAGAGTGAAAGAGACTCACCCTCGTCCTTGTCGTTGTCATCCTCCAGGTCCTCGGAGAGATTGTCATCCTCCTCCTCGTCGTCCTGTGAACGATGCGATGCTCCAGCTTCGCTTCCGGAATGCTCGCCCACGCTTCCGCTTCCTGCCGTCTTTGAAAGGTTCAGTACAGGACTGTGTCCATTGGAGGATCCTGTAAGGCGATAGAGAGACCCAAATAAATACGTATTTACATGAGGATGAAGAATTACGAGGAGGATTGGTAAGGTTTCAACAGGGTTGGCTCATCGAGATAATTTAAAGGGAAAATCCGAGCGAAAGTGGTCCATTGGAAAATGGCACTTGCTCCTATGGTCGGTCAGGCTGACAAGGTGATGGATTTTATTTGCCGTAACACATATCCCTATTTAGAGGCTGGACAAGGCAACTATCCACTTTCGAGATCTATCTGGGTCCATGAGGCGCGGAGGATGCTGTGCGCCACGTATTCTCGCCCCACGTATTTGATATCCTAGCATTTTAATCCTGACGTGGATGGATTCTGTTTGGGCAGCGGTGGCTGCCGCATGGCCACACAGGCCGTTTTCCACCCCAGAGCCTCTGCGCGGACTAGGGTGGCTGGGTGGCTGGGTGGCTGGGAGGCTGGGTGGCTGGATAGCTGGCTGCTTCGATGCTGGCTGGTTCGACTGGCTGGCTTGGCTCGGCAATTCCGGGGTTTCCCACTAAATGGACCTGTTTCCCCTGAATGCTGCCGGCCCGATACTCGCCCTGAATTTATCTTGACGACTCCGCTCGGAAGTGACCGAGTGAACGAGAGAATGGATGTACGTGCGAGATAAAAGGTTGGACCAGGCGGATTAGAATGTTAAAGAGACATGAAATTAGAAAAGGGACTGTGCGGCCCACGCGGATGCAGGGGGAGCAAAGAGTTATAGGAATATGGTAAAAGGGAGAGAGAGAGAGAGAGTAGAAAGATGGAAAATAAAAAGCTGATAGAAGAGAAGAACGAGAGAGAGAGAGAGAGAGAGAGAGAGAGAGAGGTCGCAGTCGGACCCACTGCCGCGAAACCCGATATCGGACTTAATCTTCAGGTCCTAAACGAGCGCTCGAGTAGAGAAGAAACAAAAGAAAGAAAGCAAGAAAAGTGATTCGAAGAGAGAAGGAAAGAGATAGAGAACTGGGCCCGCTCTTCGGGCCAGAAGATTTTTCTGCGTGGCTTAGCCCCGACTGGTCCAGAGCCGATCGAGGCGATGCCTCCTCCCAATCGGACATTTAAGGATCTCGCGTTACTCTCTGCTCCCCCTTTCTAGTCCTAATCCATCCCCTCGTCACCACGCGCTCCTCGACCCTTCTCTCTTCCCGCAGGATGTACCACCCGAGTCCCTTGGGAGACTCAGACAACTGTATCCGTTACCCCGTAGAAAGAGAACGTGAAGATCTTTACCATTGTGCGAGCTGAGATCCCGTGGCTTGTGGTCCAGCGCCAGGGCCCGGTCGGCGTCGCCCCGCTCCTCCTTCAGTCTGCAACAGAGAAATCGGAAAGACATCATGTATCGACGTTCCAACGATATGGCTGAATAGTCATTCAAGAAAGAAAAGCATCAATGGGGAGGCGGAGAAGCGCATCTGCCGAGGGTATTAATTAAATAATTATTCCATGCGGCCCGGCGTGGGAAGATAAGTGATAGTTTCATCGGCGACGTTGTCCTCTCGGCAGCGTCATTAATTACAAAGGCATCGCGCGCGCAGCTATCGCTCATTCGCCGATTGAGATATCGTTGCCGTTTATCGATTTATAGATTCTATCCAGCAAGTATACCTATATCTCCAAGACTACCCACCTTTTCCCTCTTTCAGCCAAAATTCCTTCCCACTCGTTGGTTTGCCCAATTTGGGGATGCTGGCCATATTCACACTCTGACGCAGAGTGCCAGAGTGCCAGAGTGGGGCTTACCTGCGTTTCTCGACTCAAGAGACTCTCTCTCTCTCTCTCTCTCTCTCTCTCTCCACGAGTGTTCCTCTCTACTCCGGCCAGCATTAACTTTACGACGGGACTCGTTACGGGCGCAGCTTTATGTCCGACTTGCTACGCAAAACTTTTAATTTCATCTTTATATTGTTTGCCTTCTGGCCTCCCAGCTTTCCCAGCAGCGAAGCTTCGCCGCGGAATCGTTAAGATTTCTGTCTTGATGCTGCGCGGTTAGCATTAAGTAGCCCCGCGGCGCGAAAATGTAGGAACGAGAAGGAGATCGCCTGGGACTCCTTGCCAAAGAGATAAAGCAACTTGTTTCTTGAAAAATTTATTCAGCAGCATCCTAAAGGATCTTTGGAGTTGGTAGTTTTTCTTGAATTTTCTGCCTTAACGTGTAATTGGAATTTCATCGGGCTGCCTAACCTCCAAATTATTCTCAGGGGTGTACTATCTGGGGCCGTTACCTTTTTTCTCTTTTTTTTTTTTTTCCTTTCCACTCGGAGCCCTTCGCACCTCGAATCGAACCGTGGACCATTAAGTAAGAAGTTAATATCATTAAACATAATATTGGGCGCATCTGGGAGCCGCAGAGCACTTACCGACCCCCCAAGTATTCTACATCGAGCCACGGGCCACCCCCAAGCGCCACGTTAACCGCCACAACATCCTTCTTCGCTCTCCCTCTCCTGCTTGGCTCTCCCGGTCTCTCTTTTCCTTACGTCCCTCTCGCAGCCCACTCGCGCTTTAATTTTTTAATGAGAAAATGCTTTTAAAGAGCCAAAGAGAAATACTATCTACGAGTAATAAGTTACGGGCACGGCACCGGGGAACGAGAATAAGAGAATAAGAGGGATGCCGAGAGGGATCGCGAGGGAGAGAGAGAGAGAGAGAGAGAGAGAGGGGGAGGGGGAGGGGCCAAAGCCTCGTTTGCCTTTGCCAAGAATTTCAGACGCGTTTCATTAGCTGCAGTTTTGACGCGAATGCCATTCGCGGTTCATTAATTGTAAGTTAAGCAAGCGTGAGTCGAGTATCCCCCCCCCGCCCCGCTAGGAGGGGGGAGAGGGCTCTTCCCTTGCGCACAACATCAGATATCATAACGACTTAATTTCGGCAATAATTAAATTTTAATTGGTAATACGAGTCGATTAAGATGGCCGAAGGATATCTTCATCGGTCTCTTGAGCGCTCCCACGGATCCGCATATTCTCCCTGCTCTCCGTCTCTCTCTCTCTCCCTTATGATCTTTCTCTCGTCCCCATCTATCTCTGTCTCTCTCGCTCGCGCGATTCCCGACCGAGCAAGACATCACGTTGGCTCGCGATGCAATAAGCCCGCGACGAACGTCGCCCGTAGGGTTATTAAATTCGTAATTAGTTGAATATTACAGTAGGCGCGTCGCGGCGCTCGGCGGATACGGATACGGATATGGATACGGCGTTAATACGTCACGGGTTTCATTATATACCTGCGGCTCCGGGTCTCAGACTATGAGACTATGCGCGAATAATTAGCGAGTCCACGGAAACTTGAACGCGTTGCCATATTATAAACACTGCGTGAAAGCCCTTTGGGAAAGGCGGACGAGCGTCACAAGTTACTTCGTTATTCGGGCTGAGAGTGAGAGAGAGAGAGAGAGAGAGAGAGAGAGAGAGAGAGAGAGAGAGAGAGAGAGAGACGAGCAGCGTCTCCTTCGCTCTTGACCTTTTTTAATTTTCACTCGATAATGACGCAGCCAGTGGGGTAGGACGGGGCCCGCCGTGCCCAGGTCTCCGGTGCCCCTCTCCTGCACCCAGGATCCAGGACCGGCCCTGAACCGCGTCAGTTCATTAAAGGAGTCTCGAACCAAAAAGGAAACCGGACTGATTGTTCGCAAAAGTACCTTTCTCGAGAATCCACCGCGACACAAAGATCCGCAAGGAATCGCGAGGTCGTTTATGCGACTCCCAAGATAGTCTCTCTCTCTCTCTCTCTCTCTCTCTCTCTCACTCTCTCTCTCTCACTCCTTCCTTTTATCTTCTTTTCGACCTTTTCTCTCCCATTCTATCTCATCCCGTCAGGAAACCAGTCTCGTTCCGGATTAACGGGTTGCGGTTCACCGTCATTGGGAAATCGGCCGATGATTGGATGACGCTGGGGACGTAGACGGGACAGGT